TATTCAGCACTGTTTATGACATTCTATTGCTGTTGTATACTCCTTTTTATTATGGCTAAACTAAACTTTGAAGAATCAGGGATTAATTTGGTATAGTAAGATACCCTTTTGGTGCAACTAAGTTGGAATACCCCGAATAATCCCCCATGTAGTTTAATTTTGATTTATTTTTATAAAACATTTAAGTAATTGTTTTCACTTGGAATATAAGTCGAAGGTATTGACAAACAGCATTTAGATTTTTGCCGTTCGCAAAACTGCCAGTCAAATTTGCTTTACTAAAATAGGTGTCTTGTATCTCTTTTGGACCCCATAATTCATCTTTTGGGTGTGTGTGGCTAAAAAAAGAGGGGGGGGGGGGGGGGGCTTTCGTTTAGGTCAAAGAATTTGTTCCCATCTTGATTCAAAAACCTTATTTATTTTTTAGAACAACCCAAAAACATTTTTTATTCAAATTTGAGTGTTGAATTTTATAATTTTTTAACAAAAATAAATATTTGTGATAACTCCTTCCTGAAAAAAAAAATGTTTAGATCTATATTATGCATGTCTGTTTGAGAACCATTTCATAAGACCGATGATTTCTATAGAAATCATTGATGGGACCCATTATAAATACATTTTTTTTATTATTCCTGGAGTAGATAATAATTTTCTTTTAATCTTTGGGATTTATTCAATTTGTTTTTATGTTGAAATAATTAACTTCATAATTTTGATGAAAAAAATCCATTTCAATTCAATTTTTTTTCATCAAAATTATGATTTTCATTTTCATCTATCAACAAACTTTTTAAATTGTAGTGGCATGGTCGGTCAACTGATAAGTTGTATGGCTGATTACAGGTAAAGCAATAACTTCTATTTGACAGTTGCGTGTACTCTGGGGTGTGGAATACCTTAGTTTTATGGGGAACATCCTGTCCATGTGTAATACTTAATATATTCCAACAGATGACATTACACAAATTTTTCTTCTGTTAAATGAATGATTTGTATATCATCATAATTTGCTATTTATATAAACCACATTTTGGTATAATAATTATTTACCATATCAACATTGAATATTATGAATGTAGAATGAAATATGTCTACAGTATGATTGGTTTGAATCATTTAATTTATAAGATTTAGGAATCAAAATTTGTAATTATTTAAAAACCCACATTGAAATTGTTTTATATCAACACACCCACATTTGAATTATTTTATACTTTAGATTTCATAGCCATATTTGCATTTGTAAAAATATCAGAGACATATATACACATATTTATATATGTCTCTGAAAATATTTATATACCAAATTTTCAATTATTTTACATGCCCAACTTTTATTTTTGTTGTAAAGAAGTGTAACTTGAAACAACAGTATATCATATAAAGAGAAATAAAGATTAAAGTTATATCATGAATATTGGTCATGATTTGTAAAACTCAGACCTGTCAAGTAAATTTAAGACACGATTCAAAATGTTCAGAATATGTCAAGCCATACTGAGAAAAAATAAGAATGTCGAGAATATGTCGAGAAATTTCAAGACAGTATTCAAATGTCAAGAATTTGTCAAGAAATTTTAAGACCATATTCAGAATGTCGAGAATATGTCGAGTAAATTTCATACAAATTTAATATAAATGAGAATTTGTCAAGAAAAATTAAGACACAAGTCATACTTTTGGAGAATGTCGAGTAAAAGTTCATGCAAATTAAGACAAAAACTGGTCTTTTCAGACTTTTAGACTTTTGTAGTGAAAGGAGTAGCAATCACAAGGAAAACAGTGTTCGGGGAGATAACTCTTATAAAGAAAAGTGTTCAGTAAAACGGAGTCAGTTTATATTTAGAGCTTATAAACTGTTCAATATCATATGAGCTGCGTCAGATAGAAATCAACTTTATGCAAATGAATATCAGTACATCTGTTCACACCTATTTCGAGCTGAAAAAATCTCTATACAAGGCTGCAACTGTTTGAAAATTGAGCTGATATAAGAACCCTACAAAACAGACCAAAATTTATTTTTTATTTCTTATTTGAATGTTCCAAAACCAATCAGTCTTACACATGACATGTATATGTGCACTTGCATAAGGTCTATTTCTATCTGTCGCAGCTCAAAAAGTGGCAGATGAAAATGAAATAAATGTGGATAGTGTCCACATGTGGACACAGATGATGCCCCCGCTTGCATATCATATAGGGACATAACTGAAGAACGGTAAAAGTGACGCTACCCATATTTGAACTTGATCTGAGTTTTGTGGTAATAAGCATTGTGTGTAAGTCTCATAACATGTGGTTGAGGCTAACTTAAGTAGAGAACAGAAACTAAAAATTCAGCAATTTTTCTATTTGTAAACACGCCAAACTCTAGAACGGTTGTGTATAAGTTTTATAACATTTGGTTGAGACAAACTAAAGTAAGAGAACAGAAACGAAAAATTCAGCAATTTTTATGTTAATAAAGGGACATAACTCAAGAATGGTAAAAGTGTTGCCACCAAATTTCGTACTTAATCTGTATTTATAATGTAGTAATAAGCATTGTGTATAAGTTTCATAACATTTGGTTGAGGCAAACTAAAGTTAGAAAACGGAAACAAAAATTTTGTACTTGATCTTAGTTTTGTGGTAATGAATATTGTGTATAGGTTTCATAATGTTTGGTTGGGGCAAACTTAAGTTACAGAATGGAAACTAAAAATTTTGCAATCTTTCGATTTATAAAGGGGCATAACTCAATAATGATTAAAATGACACTACCCAAATTCAACTTGATCCGTGTTTTATCAGTGGAAGTCAAAATTAAACATTGCATTGTATAAAGCATTGATTGTAGTTGATTCGACTATAATCATGGACAAAGGAAGATAACTCCAATTTTAATAAACTGCTTTGCTGAGCGCAGCTGGATACACCCGCAGAGGTCCAACTCTGAACAGTTGGGGGCAAAAATGGACACAATATTCAAGCTTGATACAGGTCTGAATTTGGATTGTATTAAATATTTGACATATTATAGGTTTCTGAATAAATGTAGTCAAAGAACTTGAAATTGGTTAAATGAATTGAATTTATATTCAATTAAAGATTTCTTGCTGTTGTGCAATACACTGTGCTGTTGCGCAATACTTAGTAAATCTGTTGTCACGACTATAAACAATTAAAGTTCAATTAATTCTCAATGTCATATTAGAAATTTATGAAAATGTAAGGGAGCTTACATCAATAGATATAAACAATTCACCAAAGTTTCATGAGAATTGCTGACCGCATTTTTGCGTTATTGTCCGAAAAACTGGAAAATCCCCCCCTTTTTAATGAATAAAACCCCATAACTCAGAAATGTAAAATGTAAAATATATAAAATTCTAAACAGAGCTTACATCAATAGATATAAACAATTCGCCAAAGTTTCATAAGAACTGCTGAAAGCATTTTAGATTTTTTGTCCGAAAACTGGAAAATCCCCCTTTTTTTAAATAAAACCCTGTAACTCGGAAACCTAAAATCTAAAATATATAAAAATCGAAAGGGAGCTCATGTCAATAGATATAAACAAATCACCACAATTTCTTGCAAGTTGGTGAAAGCATTCTTAAGTTATTGTCTGAAAACTGGAAAATCCCCCCTTTTTTAATGAATAAAACCTTATAACTTGGAAACGTAAAATATAAAATTTATAAAAAACGAAAGGGAGCTCACGTCAATAGATATAAACAATTCACCAAAGTTTTATGCAAATTGGTTAAAGCGTTTTTGAGTTAACGTCCGACATGTTGACGACGGACGGACAGAGGTATACCATAATACGTCCCGTAAACGGGCATATAAAAATTACTTGATATTTAGAAGAAAATAAAAATTTTGCAATTTTTCCAATTCTAAAGGGCATAACTCTAGAATGGTTAAAGTGACGCCACCAAAATTCAAACATGATCTGTGTTTTGTGGTAATAAGCGTTGTGTATAAGTTTTATAAGATTTGGTTTAGGCAAAACTAAAGTTAGAGAACGGAAACGATAAATTCAGCAATTTTCCATTTGTAAAGGGGCAAAACTCTAGAATGGTAAAGTGACGCCACCAAAATTCAAACTTGATCTGTGTTTTGTGGTAATAAGCATTGTGTATAAGTTTCATAACATTTGGTTGAGGCAAACTAAAGTTAGAGAACGGAAACGATAAATTCAGCAATTTTCCATTTGTAAAGGGGCATAACTCTAGAACGGTAAAAGTGACGCCACCAAAACTCAAACTTGATCTGTGTTTTGTGGTAATAAGCATTGTGTATAAGTTTCATAATATTTGGTTGAGGCAAACTAAAGTTAGAGAACGGAAACCAACTTTGGGACGTACGTACGGACAGACAGACGGACGTACAGACGGACAAGGGAAAAACTTAATGCCCCCTCCACTACTGCGTGGGCATAAAAATAGGCAATTTATTCAAAGTATTTGAAAAGTATGGTTTTTGGGCCCTTTTTCCTAAACATTAGAACCATAACCCCCAAAATCAATCCCAACCTTCCTTTTGTTGGTATGGAACCTTGTGGTACAATTTCATAGAAATCCTTAAGACTTATAATCAAGTTATTGTCTTGTAACCAGAAAATCCTAGTTTTTCAGTCCCCAATTCCTAACCAGTTTAGGCCATATCCCCCAAAAGCAATCCCAACCTTCCATTTGAGGTATGGAAACAAGTGGTACAATTTCATAGAGATCCATACACTTATACACAAGTTATTGTCCTGAAACAAGAAAAATGCTTGATTTTGGCCTTTTTGGCCTCTAATTCTTGAACATTTAGGACAATAACCCCCAAAATCAATCACAATCTTCCTTTTGTGGTATTGAACCTTGTGGTACAATTTCATAGAGATCTATACAATAATTCTCAAGTTATTGTCTGGAAACCAAATGTCTTCCGATGACAACGACAACACTGACAAAGTCATATAAGACCACAAAATTTAGAAAAAGTTATATATAACTCACTTCTCACAGAAAACCTGCCTCATAAAGCTCCAAATGGATCATTCATTGACTGATGAGCAGGTGGTCGTGGCTGTGTCATCAAGGTTCCATTCATTCCATAGACACCTGCTTGAGGCTGAACACCCATCACTGGCTGCATGTTCATTCCTAATGGCCTATTGGCTATCATACCAGGTTGCTGCAGAAAGTAAAGTTACAGTTAACTAAATATCAGTAAGAAAATGATAAAAACAGTGCAGCTTCGATTATTGATCAATGATTTGGACTGATTTCCAATGGTATTCACTTTGTATTCCATGGTTTGGCAGACTAATTTGTTACAAATATTTTTATAAAATTCACAGCAGAAGGCAATAAGGACTCAAATTAGCTCAATTTTTCATAAAGTCTGATGTTACTTGCTGAAGTATCTATTCCTATGTATATTTTTTTTATATGATTGTAATAATTAAACCATTCTTTAGATGTTAAAAATTATTAAGTGATTTGTCTCCCATGTAGTTAAGAAGGATAATAGAGAAACTGAAGAAGGCCAGCAGCCAAAACATCTAAACAAAAACCGTTATCGCTCCAGTGATGAAAAAATTGTTGGTTTGCTAATTTGGTCTTTCATAAACGCATACTGTAGTTACTCTTTGAGTTGCTGATATTTTTTGCAATTTACACATATAACCTAGCTCCTACAGCCAAAACTGCACAAAACAGTAAAAATTTACATTTCAGGGGCAATAACTCTAAAAAGGGTTGTAAAATTTTCAGAGTAGTTAGATCTTGTCTTGCTGATCATTTTGGCTGTTTCATTGATTGATTGATTGTTGGTGTTTTAAAGCCCATTTTTAAGTGCCATTTTGGACTATTTCGTGGTGGCCAGTTTTTATTGGTGGAGGAAGCCGGAGTGCCCGGAGAAAACCACCGACCTTCGATAGGAAAACTGACAATCCTAGTCAATTAAGATTGGATTCAAGTGCACCTGCACGAGCGGGGTTGGAACTCACAACCTCATTATTGACTGGCTAGTGATTACAGTAGTAGAACTACTTAGACCACTTGGCCACCGAGGCCCCTTGGCTGTTTCAATTTTCTCTTTCAGATAATAGACAATATAATGCTCCGGTGGGCACAGCTTGAAACGACCGCAGAGGTCGAACCCTGAACAGTTGGGGCAAGTATGGACACAACATTCAAGCTTGATACAGCACTGAATTTGGATTGTGATTAAATATTTGACACATCACAGGTTTCTGACACAGAATGAATGTGGTCTAAGAACTTAAAATTTTTTAATTTACCTATTCAAACCATATCATTATTATTTGCTTTTATATATAAATCAGAAATAACCAATTTAAAATGGAAAATTTTAAAGAAAAAAAAATCCCCCCCCTTATGATTCATCACCCCCAAACTCAATCCCAGCCTTCCCTTTGTGGTATGGTAATTGCAGTACAATTTCAGAGAGATCCATACACTTGAACACAAGTCATTGTCTGGAAACTAAAAAAAATGCTTGTTTTTTGGCCCCTTTTTGGCCCCAAATTCCTAAACGTTTAGGGCAATTACCCCCAAACTCAAACCCAGCTTTCCCTTTGTGATATGGAACCTTGTAGTACAATTTAATAAAGATCCATACACTTACACACAAGTTATTGTCCTGAAACAAGAAAAATGCTGGTTTTTTTCCCCTTTTTTGGCCCTTAATTCCTAAAATTTTGAAGCAATTACCCCCAAAATCAATCCCAGCCTTCCCTATGTGGTATGGTACCTTGCAGTACAATTTCAGAGAGATCCATACACTTGAACACAAGAAATTGTCTGGAAACTAGAAAAATGCTTATTTTTGGCCCCTTTTTGGCCCCTTATTTCTAAACGTTTGGGGCAATTACCCCCAAACTCAATTCCAGCTTTCCCTTTGTGATATGGAACCTTGTAGTACAATTCCATAAAGATCCATACACTTACACACAAGTTATTGTCATGAAACTAGAAAAATGCTTGTTTTTTTCCCCTTTTTGGCCCCTTATTCCTAAAATTTTGAGGCAATTACCCCCAAAATCAATCCCAGCCTTCCCTATGTGGTATGGTACCTTGCAGTACAATTTCAGAGAGATCCATACACTTGAACACAAGTTATTGTCTGGAAACTAGAAAAATGCTTATTTTTGGCCCCTTATTTCTAAACGTTTCGGGCAATTACCCCCAAACTCAATTCCAGCTTTCCCTTTGTGATATGGAACCTTGTAGTACAATTTCATAAAGATCCATACACTTACACACAAGTTATTGTCATGAAACTAGAAAAATGCTTGTTTTTTGCCCCTTTTTTGGCCCTAATTCCTTACATTTTGAGGCAATTACCCCAAAAATCAATCCCAGCATTCCCTGTGTTATATGGAACCTTGTGTTACAATGTCAGAGAGATCCATACACTAACACATAAGTTATGTCTGGAAGTTACAAAAATGCTTATTTTTGGCCCCTTTTTGGCCCCTTATTCCTTAACTGTTGGTAACATAACCCCCAAAATCAATCCCAACCTTCCTTTTGTGGTATTGAACCTTATGGTAAAATTTCATAGAGATCCATTCACTTAAACTAAAGTTAGAGTGCGAAAACCAATGTGTCTTTGGACGACGACCACAAAGCTGGATGACGACGACGAGGCCAACGTCATACCAATATACGACCACAAAATTTTTTTTGCATTTGTATAAAAACGTAAAAAATGGGTAAAAATCATCATTATAGAGCAATAACTCCTGTAAGGAGTCACTGGCCAATTCTAACCATGGTGACTTATTTGAAGATCTTGTCTTGCTGATTATTTTGGCTGTTGTAAGTTTCTCTCTTTTATAGTTTAAAGATAATAGACAAATTGAAATAAAGAGCTGTGCCATGAGCGCAATGATATGCCTGTCAAAGAATAAAGTTCCATAACTCCTAAATGTCATATCAGAAATTTATAAAAAACTAAAGGGAGGTTATTTTAATAGATATAAACCAGTCAACAAAGTTTTATGAAAACTGCTCAAAGCACTTTTGAGTTATTGTCCGAAAACTGGAAAATTGCCCCTTTTTTAAAGAATAAAACCACATAACTCGGAAACAAAAAATCTAAAATTTATAAAAATTGAAAGGGAGCTCAAGTCAACGGATATAAACAATTCACCAAAGTTTCATGCAAATTGGTTAAAGCGTTTTCAAGTTATTGTCTGACATGTTGACGACGGACGGACAACGGTATACCATAATACGTCCCATAAACTGGCATATAAAAATGGGTAAAATACGTCATTTATGAGCAATAACTCCTATAAAAAGTCTTCTGGCAGTTTTATGTAAACAGACATTAGCTAGATCTCATCATTCTAAACACTTTTGCCCTTTCAGATTTTCTCTATTCATATAAAAAAGAAGATGAGGTATGATTGCCAATGAGACAACTCTCCACAAGAGACCACATGACACAGAAATTAACAACTATAGGTCACTGTACGGCCTTAAACAATGAGCAAAGCCCATACCAAACAGTCAGCTATAAAAGGCCCCAAAATAACAATGTAAAATAATTCAAACGAGGAAAACTAACGACCTAATTTATGTACAAAAAATGAACGAAAAACAAATATGTAACACATAAACAAACGACAACCACTGAATTACAGGCTCCTGAATTAGAGGTTTTCAAGATAATAGACAAATTACATTTTACCCCTATGTTCTGTTTTAGCCAATTCAGCCATGTTAGTTGGCAGGCAAGGTCATCAGACACATTTTTAGAACTAGATACCCTTTAAATGATGATTGTGGCCAAGTTTCGTTTAAATTTGGCAGAGTAGTTTCAGAAATGAAGAATTTTGTAAAAGTTAACTCATAAGACAAATACCAGATAACAATATTGCCAGATGACAGATGCCAAGTGATGAGAAAAGCTTAGTTGACCAGGTGAGCTAACTAGAGGCTCTCAAGAGCCTTTGTCGCTCACCTGTATCTACTGTTGTTTTGGAAATCATGTAAAATAAGGTTAAAATCATAATTAATAGTATTAGATACCCTAATAATGATTGAGGCCAAGTTTGATTTAATTTGGCCCAGTAGTTAAATTAAAAGCAGGGCATCCCATTGTAGTCTTACAAAAGTTACTGAAGACCCCTTATCCTTATTTAAATAAGTTTTCAAGTTGTGACCATTTGAAATTTTTTTTTTACAATTTTCCCTTAGACTTCTATAGTAAACCCCTATGTTCTGTTTTTAGCCATGGCAGCCATGTTGGTTGGATGACATTGTCATCAGATACATTTTTCAATCAAGATACCCTATTGAAAATTGTGGCTAAGTTTAATTCTATTTGGCCCAGTAGATTAAGTGGAGAAAATTTTTATAAAAGATTACAATAAAATGCTCCGCTGGGCGCAGCTTGATACAACCACAGAGGTCAAACCCTGAACAGTTGGGGCAAGTATGGACACAACATTCAAGCTTGAAACAGCACTGAATTTGGATTGTGATTAAATATTTGACACAGCATAGGTTTCTGACACAGAATGAATGTGGTCTAAGAACTTAATATTTTTTTAATTTACCTATTCAAATCATATCATTATTATTTGCTTTTATATATAAATCAGAAATAACCAATTTAAAATGGAAAATTGGAGGCAATTACCCCCAAAATCAATCCCAGACTTCCCTTTGTGGTATGGTACCTTGCAGTACAAATTCAGAGAGATCCATACACTTGAACACAAGTTATTGTCTGGAAACTAGAAAAATGCTTATTTTTGGCCCCTTATTCCTAAACGTTTTGGGCAATTACCCCCAAACTCAATTCCAGCTTTCCCTTTGTAATATGGAACCTTGTAGTACAATTTCAGAAAGATCCATACACTTACACACAAGTTATTATCATGAAACTAGAAAAATGCTTGTTTTTTGCCCCTTTTTGGCCCCTAATTCCTAAAATTTTGAGGCAATTACCCCCAAAATCAATCCCAGCATTTCCTTTGTGATATGGAACCTTGTGGTACAATGTCAGAGAGATCCATACACTAACACACAAGTTATGTCTGGAAGTTACAAAAATGCTTATTTTTGGCCCCTAATTCCTTTACTGTTGGTACTATAACCCCCAAAATCAATCCCAACCTTCCTTTTGTGGTAGTGAACCTCATGGTAAAATTT